AAAGCTTTTGCGAAATCTGTGGAAATTACATCCGTGTTTTGTTTGTCTTCCATAGCATCTAATGCCATATCATAGTGGTCCAATAACTGCGACAGGCAAGAGCGCCCTGTTCTGAAACCATGTTGTCCGGGGTTATGGAGATGCTGTGATTCCATGTATTTTGTGATCTTCTTAGCACTCTCTCAAAAATTTTTATGATGTGCGATGTTAGTGCTATCGGTCTGTAATTGTTTGCCTCTGCCTTATTTCCTCCTTTATGAAGTGGTGCTATCTCTGCTGTTTTTAGTATGTCAGGGATAACGCCAGTATCTAGGCTTTGTCTCCACAGAATGTGAAGGGCCTGCGATAGTGTTTTTTTACAGTTCTTGATGAATATGAAGTTCCAAGAATCCGGGCCTGGTGCAGAGTGCATAGGCATACTGTTTATGGCTTCTTCAAAATCTAGTGGGGATAGGGTGACGTCTGATATATGATTTGATGTTGGTATCATATCCATGAAAAATTAATTTGGGTTATCAATCTTCAGTGCGTTTAATGGCTCGCTGAAAACAGAGTCGTACTGCTTCCTCAGTAACTCGCTCATTTCTTTGTCGTCATCGGTGAAAGTTCCATCTCCCTTTCGCAGGGGCCCGATACTAGATGTGGTTTTTGATCTTGATTTTGCATAGGAGAAAAAATATTTCGGATTTCTCTCTATTTCACTGATGGCCTTTTGCTCTCTTTGCCTCTCCTGGGTTTTGTATGATTCTTGTAGCTTGAGTTCAATTGTTTCTATTTCTCTACCTAACTTTCTTCGCCGTTCTTGAGATAGGGTGCGACTCTCAAGTTGTTCCGCGATTCGTTTTCTTCGCCTATATAGGGAACGACGTTCCCGTTCCAATCTGCATCTCTTCCTCTTTTTTCTTAGGAGTATGCGGTTTGAACATATTTCTAGTGCCACTGAGCTTATTTGCCTCTACTGAGTATGCCTCTAGTAAAAGTAATGTGCATCGCTGGAGATTTCAACAATGAAGGAATTATTTGAAATTCAGAAACAAAAAATCCAGCAGCTGAGGAACTTCTGGAAGTGGTCAAAGACTGCTTCTTGACGCAAGTGTAAATAAGCCCATAAGAGATATTATATTGGACCTGGTGCTGGTAAAGAAACACTTATTGATGTGGAAATCGGGAGCGAATTAGAAAACAGTGACCATCGGGAGATTTAGATTTAAGATTACTTGACAGACTGGTGCTAGGAAATAACAAGATATTTGGCCCATGGTGAGGCATCACTTGGATATTTGGACCATGGTGAGGCACCACTTGGATATTTGGCCCATGGTGAGGCATCACTTGGATATTTGGCCCATGGTGAGGCATCACTTGGATATTTGGCCCATGGTGAGGCATCACTTGGATATTTGGCCCATGGTGAGGCATCACTTGGATATTTGATCATGGTGAGGCATCACTTGGATATTTGGCCCATGGTGAGGCATCACTTCTTGGATATTTGGCCATGGTGACTTCACTTGGATATTTGATCATGGTGAGGCATCACACATGGTGAGGCATCATATTTGGCCCATGGTGAGGCATCACTTGGATATTTGGCCCATGGTGAGGCATCACTTGGATATTTGGCCCATGGTGAGGCATCACTTGGATATTTGGCCCATGGTGAGGCATCACTTGGATATTTGGATCATGGTGAGGCATCACTTGGATATTTGGCCCATGGTGAGGCATCACTTGGATATTTGCCCATGGTGAGGCATCACTTGGATATTTGAGGCATCACCATGGTGAGGCATCACATAGATATTTGGCCCATGGTGAGGCATCACTTGGATATTTGGCCCATGGTGAGGCATCACTTGGATATTTGGCCCATGGTGAGGCATCACTTGGATATTTGGCCCATGGTGAGGCATCACTTGGATCACATGGTGAGGCACCACTTGGATATTTGGCCCATGGTGAGGCATCACTTGGATATTTGGCCCATGGTGAGGCATCACTTGGATATTTGGCCCATGGTGAGGCATCACTTGGATATTTGGCCCATGGTGAGGCATCACTTGGATATTTGAGGCATCACTTGGATATTTGATCATGGTGAGGCACCACTTGGATATTTGATCATGGTGAGGCATCACTTGGATATTTGATCATGGTGAGGCATCACTTGGATATTTGGCCCATGGTGAGGCATCACTTGGATATTTGGCCCATGGTGAGGCATCACTTGGATATTTGGCCCATGGTGAGGCATCACTTGGATATTTGGCCCATGGTGAGGCATCACTTGGATATTTGGCCCATGGTGAGGCATCACTTGGATATTTGGCCCATGGTGAGGCATCACTTGGATATTTGGATCATGGTGAGGCATCACTTGGATATTTGGCCCATGGTGAGGCATCACTTGGATATTTGGCCCATGGTGAGGCATCACTTGGATATTTGATCATGGTGAGGCACCACTTGGATATTGAGGCATCCCATGCTGAGGCATCACTTGAATATTTGGCCCATGGTGAGGCATCACTTGGATATTTGGCCCATGGTGAGGCATCACTTGGATATTTGGCATCCATGGTGAGGCATCACTTGGATATTTGGCCCATGGTGAGGCATCACTTGGATACATGGTGAGGATATTTGGCCCATGGTGAGGCATCACTTGGATATTTGGCCCATGGTGAGGCATCACTTGGATATTTGATCATGGTTCACTTGGCCCATGGTGAGGCATCACTTGGATATTTGGCCCATGGTGAGGCATCACTTGGATATTTGGCCCATGGTGAGGCATCACTTGGATATTTGGCCCATGGTGAGGCATCACTTGGATATTTGCCCATGGTGAGGCATCACTTGGATATTTGATCATGGTGAGGCATCACTTGGATATTTGGCCCATGGTGAGGCATCACTTGGATATTTG